GAAGTCGCCGAATCACCCCTCATGTGTTTCGGTGTACCACTTCTCTTAGCACATGCTGACTGTACCTACAATTCTGCAGTGGAACAACTCGCTATCCAGCAGCAGATCGAGCTTCTGCAGCAGCAGCAGCAGCAGATCCAAGCTACCCAGCAACAATACATGAACATGGGGATGATCCCCCCGAACCAACAACTCGGCCCCGGCGGTGCTTTCAATCCCTTGCAGCCAGCCATGCCCGGCATGAACCACCAGAATGCCTTCCAGTTCCCTCAACAGATCCCTCAGCAGAATCTGGCTCCTCCCACCCAGCCCATGGCCCACCGCCGCAACCAGTCGGCCCTCCCCAACATGGGCATGGGACCACCTCCCGCTCCCTCCTCTGGTGCCTCCGGCTCTGCCTTTGGTAGTTTCGAGAACCAGGGCGCCCAGGGTCGTGAGAATGCCGGCGCCAGCCGCGGCCGCGGCGGTGGCGCTGGCGGCGGTGGCCATCAGCGTAGACACTCTTTGGCGCTCGCAGACGCGAAGAAGGCTGCAGACATCGCTCAACAGAAGCGTACAACATCCGGCTTCCAGTTCCCCGGCCCCAATGCCGCTCCTGAGAATGGCGCCGAAGGCACGAGCGCCCCAGCTCAGCCCGAGATTGCTCAGGGCTCCTCTGGTGCCGGTCGTGGTCGCGGAGGCCACGGTCGTAGCCAGAGCATGGCTGTCGGCGCCGCCGGCCGTGGAGGCGGTGCTGGCCGCGGTGGTGCCCTAAACTTCACCCCCGACGCGGCTGGCCAGTCCAACGATTTCCAGCGCCGCGGCAGCGCTACCGGCGGGCATGCCAGGACTGGATCCCGCAACTTTGAGGGCAACTGGCGCAACCAGAGCCAGACCCAGGACCAGGCCGGAGCCCAGGGCGGCCAGCAGGGCTTCCAGCCCGGCCACCGCTCCCGTGGCTCTGTCAACCAGTCCATTTCCAACTTCCATTCCCCCAGCAGGGCCAGATGATGCAGATGCCGGGTCAGATCATGCCCTTCCAGATGTATCCCGGACAGGCTCTCAACCCCATGCAGATCAACCAGCTCCAAGCTTTGCAGGCGGCTCAGATGGGCGGTCAGCAATTTGTTGGTCTCCAGGGAAGCCAGCATGCCGGCCAGATGGGCGGCAACCAGAACCAGCAGCAACAGAGGAAGACCCTCTTCACTCCTTATCTCCCCCAGGCCACCCTGCCTGCGCTCCTCGGGGACGGCCAGCTTGTGTCTGGCATCCTTCGTGTCAACTTAAAGAACCGGAGCGACTTCAACTTTTCCACTTTGGATGACCAGCTCGATGCCTACATCTTCATCTGCGTTAGCAGGGATTGCAACCGTGCCTTGAAGGGCGACCTCGTTGCCGATGAGCTCCTCGACGTTGACGAGTTTTGGTCGCAGAAGCGCGAAAAGGAAGAAAAGAAGACCCTGAAGGATATCGCCGACACCCGCTCGGCATCCACCACTGAGGGACAGAACCAGTCCTCAAACAGTGCCGACGACAGTACCCGCGCAGAGGTGGGACTTCGACGCCGTGTCATTCTCCGCCAGCG